CAGTTGAGAAGTTGGTCAGGTGAGGTTGGCTGTGGCTTGTTCTGTCTCTCTGACCTTCCAGCATTCACCCCAATAACTGGCCCCGGGTTTGATTTTATTAATAAGACTCTCTAAGATTCCTGCTACAGCCTTACTTGTGTTGCTTCTGTCAAATCAATGAGAAAAGCAAAGCACACAGCAGCCAAGTGCTGGGGACTGGGCCCTTCAGAGCACTCGTCCAGGATGGGGACCCTGGCTGACGGAGTGGCTGTCTCCTAGGAAGCTGAGGCAGCCGGCACTTATCGCCTTAGAAGGCCAAGGCTGTACCTACCATTCACAGTTTTGAGTCCAAGCTGGTCTCTCTCTGGCTCAGCTCCCTGTCCTCTTCCAGGGACTCCAGCTTTTCCCGCATCTGGGGAACTGAAGAAAGTAGGTTGGAGGGAAGACAGAAGGGGAGGAAGTGGCTGCTTTCCCTAAACCTGCTGCATGGTGGATCGGTGGGGCTGATGGTTCAGAGACTGAGACTGAGGCCAATTGGGAAGGACCTAGGAGGGAGTTTCTAGGGAACCATGGGAGCAGGTGGCCATCCTTCCTCTGTAAGGCCCTGGAACCATGTGAACTGCTGCTATAGGTGTGGGGAGCAGGTGGTATGAACCCAGCCATGACGAGTTCCTGGCTCCCAAGCTGGAGCTCTCTCTAGCCAGCAAATGTAACTTCCAGAACAAGCCCACAAGCCTTTTGTTGTGCCGAAGTAATCACCCAGGTTGTGGGAAAGTCATGCTGGCAGACAGGGCACACTGTAGGCAGAGCCTGCTCCTCAACAAAGCACTCTTTGGTTAAAGAAATAAAGAAAAAAAATCACCCAAAAAAAAAAAGAAGTGTTTAAGCTTAAAAACTAAAAAAAGAAGCAGCTCGCTCTTGTTGTCAGAATGAAGCAACTTGTATAAAGTAAAATGAGAAAGAAATAAAAATAAAAAATGAACTGTCCCAGAGAACTGAGAAAAGGCCAAAAATATTCATACATGGGAACATGGTGAACCTCAAAGCTGTAAATATTTTCTGAGTTTCCCACATGTGGCCAGCAAGAGTAGTAGTCCCCTCTCCTGTCTCTCTCCCTGTTTGAAATCTGCTCAGAACAAGTTTGCCAAAAAAAAAAAAAAAAAAAGCAAAAAAACTTGTTAGATAAGGAAACTGCCAGAGGCTCGGAAATATTTTGTTTCAAATATCAGAGGGAAAGGAATTCAAGCCTTAGAACTGGGCGGGGGCTCTGGGGGGGGGTGTTGAGAAACAGAAAAAGGAGACATCGACTCACAGGCACAACGGAACAGTATGTTGGGATGTGTATCCACCCACCAGACGTACATCCAAAAGAGGAATTTCAGAAACATTCAAAACTGAGGATTTCTTAGGAGCCATAAAGCACAGGTGCTCCAGAAGACAGTTTGCCCAGGGACTTTGTGTGTACACTGTTTGGCTTGTTCAGTCTTGCCGCCCTGCTGGTGGGAGGGTGCCCTAGGTTCCTAGGTTTCTTTCTGTCATTGTGACAAATACTCTGACCGAAAGCAACATAGTAGGGGAAAGGGTTTATTTCAGCTTACACTTCCAGGTCACAGTTCACAATGGAGGGAAGTCAAGGGAGGAACTCAAGGCACACAGCATTAGCTCATACCAAGGAGCTCACTTTCACAGTGAGGGATTATGGCAGGGTATGCTAGCTGGCTTGCTCAGGCTTACATTTAGCTAGCTCTCTACAGTCCAGGACTATCTGTCCAGGGAATGGCGCCGCCCACGGTGGGCTGGGCCCTTCTTCGTCAATTAGCAATCAAGACAATCCCCTACAGACACATCCATGGGATAATTTGATCCAGAGCAGTGGTTCTCAACCTTCCTAATGCTAAGAACCTTTAATACAGTTCCTCATGTTGTGGTGACCCCCAGCCATAAAATTATTTGTGTTGCTACTGCGTAACCATAATTTTGTGACTGTTATGAATTGCAATGTAAATATATGTGTTTTCCAATGGTCTTAGGCATCCCTATGAAAGGGTCATTCAACCCCCCACAGGTTGAGAACCTCTGATCTAGGTGATTCCTCGGTTGTGGCTCTCTTTCAAGGGGCTCCAAACATTAAACCTAACCAAGGTCGAGAGTGACTGGAGTCCTGGGAAGAGTGGTTCACTGATGGGGGTTGAGAGATATACCTAACCCTACAGCAAGTTCCCAGGGTGATTCTGTCCAGGACAAAAAAGTCCCTAGCCCTGTAATTAAGAAGTTCCTTCCCCAGTCAGCATTGAAGAGTATCCATCTTTGTGGGCTTCAGCTGCCGGGGTTAGTCTGAGATGGGAAGCCTAAATAAGCAGGCATCACCCACAGCAGGAGGTCTGGATGAATGGGAGAAGAAAGTGAGCTGAGCACCAGTGTTCATCTCTCTCTGCTTTCTGACTGTGGATGTGATGTGACCAGCCACCCCCCACTCCTGTCACCCTGGCTTCCCTGCTATGATGGCCTGTAAATCAAAATCAACCTTCCCCAGTGTTTGTCACAGTGGTGGGGACAACAGTTAACCTGCTTTCTTACTTTCAGCTGTTTGAGGTGGGGATTCGGGTCTCTGTAGTAGGAAGGTTTCTCAGGTCCCACCAGGCCCCCAAAGTCCCATGGCCCACTTATAAAATAATCACTCAGAAGCTTATATTAATTATAACTGCTTGGCCATTAGCTCAGGCTTATTACTGACTTGCTCTTACACTTAAATTAACCCATAATTCTTATCTATGTTTAGCCACATGGCTTGGTACCTTTTCTCAGCTCTGCCTTGACATCTTGCTTCCTCTGTGTCTGGCTGGAGACTCCTGACTCAGCCCTTTCTCTTCCCAGAATTCTCCTTGTCTGCTTGCCCCACCTGTACTTCCTGCCTGGCCATTGGCCAATCAGCATTTTATTTATCAACCAGTCAGAGCAACACATATTCACAGCATACAGAATGACATCCCACAGCAGGTCTCAGTGATGAAAAGTGGGGCCAGGAGCTGGGCCCACAAAGACTCCCAAGCCTGTCCATGTGGCACAGTTCTCTGCCTGTTTCTAGTGCTGGATGTTCCTTAGGGTGCTGTGTGCATAAGGCCTTTGCACTGTTCCCTACCCTCCGCAGAAAATGCTTTGATCCCTATGTACGGGACCCTCCCTCAGCAGATGCCCCCAAAGGTCTTCCTCTCAGAGAGGTCTGCCCTGAGCACCCTTCCATGGGGGAGGGGAGTAGTTGTCAGTGGGTGTGGGTATGCAGGTTCACGTTTATATGGATGCATGTGTGTGCAGAGGTCAGAAGTCAACCTCACAGGTCATTCTTCAGGCAGTGTCCACCTTGTTTTTTGAGACAAAGTCTCTGAGGTGACCTAGAGATATCCAATTTAGCTGTCAATGGACTTTCATGTCTCCCCCCTGCCCCCTCCTGCCATGCTGTGATTACAGGAGTATGCCACCATGTCCAGCCCTTTATGTGGGTTCTGGGAATTGAACTCAGGTCCTCATGCTTGTGTGCAAGGTGCTTTGCTGATTGAGGAGTCCCTCTGCTCCTGAGACTACCGTTCTAGAAGGCTCCCTCCCTCTCTCTCACTGTTGGCAGGATACCTGCCATGACCTTCTTCATCATTCATAACTGTCCTCATGACCTCCGGGTGTCGTCTCCTGTATCCTTACCTGCCTGTTCCACGTGATGTGTCTCCCTTCTTCACCCTCAGCATTCACACAGCATCACGCTCAGCGAGGCCCTTAGCAAATGCTTGCAGGAGGGGTGGGCAGGCCTCCACATCAGGCCAAGCACAGCGGTCAGCAGCTTTGCTTATTCTTAATTTCACAGAGACATCTAGAAGCTTCCCAAAGCAGGAGCAGGGTTGCACGAATGCCCAATAGGTCTGTCTTCCTAGTCACCCACTTCACTCCTCCCGTAAAGGTTTCCTCAGCCACAGGAACAGCGACCTGGGAGACAGGGTCAGGGAGAAGACCCCAGACCACCTGAGGACCTACTCACCCAGGACATCGGCGGTGGCCTGTTCTCCTCAAACCATTGACAGACTAACTGTCCTTAAGCAGGGGCTGGAATACTTTGCAAGAGTAGAAAAGTATATGTGAGGACTCTCATAGCAACGTGAATGGATCTCCCACAAACTTTGGAAGACAAGGGAAGCCTGGCTAGATGACTCAGCCTACCCAAAATCCTGGGGCAGCTAGCCAAGCTCTGCAGGGGGTGAAGAGGAGGGAAGTGTGGTGTCTGCAATGACTGGAGGTAGCTGGCAGTGCTGGGTCATGATGCCCAGGGTCTGGGCCGGAGGGTGTGTTCTCTCTAATAGACATCACGCTCTGTGCTCTTGGGATTCTGCGCCTGGATGGAAGCTCTAACCTCCACATTTGAGGTTTAAGTTTTGAAAAGGGCCAGGGCCAGGGGCTGGTAGGTAGTACAAGCCAGGCCATACTGCATACTCAGGGAGCTGAGACAGGAGCATCTCAAATCACAGGTCTGCTTGGGTTAGGAGACCCTGTCTCAAATTTTAAACAGGAAGAGAGAGAGAGAGAGAGAGAGAGAGAGAGAGAGAGAGAGAGAGAGAGAGAGAGAGAGGGAGGGAGGGAGGGAGGGGGGAGGGAGGGAGGGAGGGAGGGAGGGAGGGAGGGAGGGAGAGGAGAGGAGAGAGAGAGAGAGAGAGAGAGAGAGAGAGAGAGAGAGAGAGAGAGAGAGAGAGAGAGAGAGACTGAGAATGTAGGTCAGTGGTGGAGCATGTGCCCAGCCCTGGGAGCAATTCCAGTATCAAAAGAGGAGTGGGGATGTTGGTGTTAGGTCGCAGAGGGGCACGACAGTGTGACCACCAGGCACTCAGAGGGCCGAAGCCAGCAGCAAGCTCCAGGGACCCTCCTCCCCTGCAGGAGTACCTCCACCTCCTAATTGTCATGTGTTACCTGGCAACCGGTCTCCCAGCGACAAAGGACGCAGAGTCTAGGGCAAGAGGGCACGGGTTTGCCCAGGCCCCAGAGCCATGGCAGCTCAGAAGCCGCTCAGCACCACTGCCGCAGAGCGCATGAACCTTGTGGCCCAGGACGAGATCTGGTAAGACCCGGGGGCTGGGCCCTTCTCCTCTGCCATGCGCACACCATAGCGGCCTCAGTTTCCCCACCAAGACCGAGAAGACAGTCGACCGCTGGGCACAGCTGGAGTGCTCTTAGGATAATCAGGAACTTGGAGGAGAGCAGGCCATGTCAGGCACACAGGGACACCTCAGTCTGGCGGCCCCTCCCTCCTGCCCCCCACCCCCACCCCGCGAAGACTGGAAGAATTCCAATAGGGAATTTAAAAAGAAGAAACAAAATTAAAATGCTAATACTTGATAACATCGAAGGTTCAGCCTTTCTTGGATTTCCTAGATTCTTTTAAAGGAGAAGAAATTTTAATTTTAAAAGACCCAGGGCTGGGTGTGGTGTCACAAGCCTTTAATCCCAGTACTAGAGATGCAGAGACTGGCTGATCTCTGTGAGTTCAAGGCCATCCTGGTCTACATAGTGAGACCTTGTCTCCAACAGCAACAAAAATCTATTTTCTAAAAGATTTGTGTCCATCGGACATTTGTAATGGATATTTTTGAGTGCCGAGTAGTATTCCACTACCTGACATTTTAACCACTATAAGAAGAGTCTGATTTAGACCTTAGATGCAAGGAACATTTGTCCCTCTTGACCCTCCCCTCCTCCCTTCCCCCTCCTTTCTCTGTCTCTCTGTCTCTGTCTGTCTGTGTCTCTGTCTCTGTCTCTCCTCTCTCCTCCTGCACTGGGTTTGCATCTGGGGCCTCAATAACGCTGGCCAAGCGCTCTGCCGCCAAGCTTCTTTTTCCTACTTTAATTGTGAGCTGCCCAGGCTGCTCTAAACTCACTGCTCCATAGCTCAGGCGGGCATGCGCATCCTCCTGCTGCAGCCACCTGAGCATCTGGGATGACAGGCCCCTGGCTCACCTCATAAACTCCCTAGTGACCATCTCTGTGACTTTTGTGTCCTTTAACACCCGTGGGGACAACTGATGAAGAGCCTACTCATATTGGAATTGTCGCGTTAACTTTGTTTTGTAGGAAACAGTATAATTCTCTCAAGTGGAAAACAGTGTCATTTCCCAGGAACCACACAATCTCAGTGTTTTAAACGTGTTTATTAGCACCCACAAACCTCCAAGAGGAAACATCATCCTTTCTCCCCACTCCACTAGACAAACTCCTACATATCCTTCAAACCCAGATCAAAAGGTCCCTCCCCTATGAACTGGCCCTCTTGAGCCCAGAGATTCTGCTTTCCAGTATCTAACATGGCTCCCGAGCACTGGAAATGGACATGATCAAGCGTGAGGTTAACTAGAAATGGAAAATTAACAAATTTAAATATTCACCCCAAGAAAATATCATGAAAATTCATGAGAGTTGGGAGAAATTTACAGACATGTTTGAGGCTCATGTTGGTTACATCTTTAAGAGAAATAGACTCTGGGACGCAAAGTGACAGCTCAGTCGTGGGCGTGTTCACAGTGAAAGCCCAATGATCCGAGTTCAGATCCCTAGAACGCTTGAACTGTCCTCTGACTTCCAATACTCACACTCAAACACTAAATGTACACACACATGCACACACTCAAACACTAAATGTACATGCATGCACACACTCAAACACTAAATGTACACACACATGCACACACTCAAACACTAAATGTACACACACACGCACACACTCAAACACTAAATGTACACACACACGCACACACTCAAACACTAAATGTACACACACTCAAACACTAAATGTACGCAGCATACATGAAAACAGACAAACTCTGGCCTTGGGAGAGGGCTTATCCTGGAAAGTTTGCACACAGGATGAAGACCCAAGTGTGACCTCCAGAGTCCATGTAAAAAGCCCGGTGTATAGTGAACACTTATAACTCCAGGGTGGAGGAGGAAGAGGCAGGAAGGTCCCTGGAACTTTCTGGTCAACCAGTATAGCCTGAGCCCCAGGTCCTACTGAGAAATCCCATCTCCAAGACAGAGTGGAGGGCTCCTAAGAACGACAATTGTGCTGGATAGTTTTGTCAATTTGACACAAACTAGAGTCATTTGTGAGGAGGGAGCCTTAATTAAGAAAATGCCTTCATAAGATCAGGCTGCAGGCAGGCCTGTAGGGCGTTTTCTTGATTAGTGATTGATGGGGGAGGGGCCCAGCTCACTGCAGGTGGTCCCATCACTGGGCTGGTGCTCCTGGGTTCTACAAGAAAGCAGACTAAGCAAGCCAGGAGAAGCAAGCCAGTAAGCAACACTCTTCCATGGCCTTTCATCAGCTCCTGCCTCCAGGTTCCTGCCCTGTTTGAGTTTCTTTCCTGACCTTGTTTGATGATAAGGAAGTGTAAGCCAAATAAACCCTTTCCTTCCCAACTTGAAACAGAAACCCTGACTAAGACAACACCCAAGGTTAACCTCTGAACTTTACACACACCTGTACACCAAACACACACATAAGAAAAGAAAAATAAAAAGAAATAGAAATAGACTTTGTCTTCCAAGCTTGGGGCCCAGAGTATATAGCTTAGCCAGACCCCAAAACCTGCAGAGATCAGGGATGGGGGAGGGGTGTAGATTCTGGTTCCCAAATAGAAGGAACCTGAAGGATCAAGGTGAACTCCATGTTTGCAGAACCTAACACCTCGCCTCACCAGCTGCCCCTCAGCTCAGCTCACAGGTGGACATCTAGAAACTGTTTAATGTGGAATGAAAAAGAATAGGGCTGGATTGGGGTGGGTGGGACTGGAGCACCTGGGGACACCATTTAAGGAAGGTCTAGCAGTCAAGTTCACGCTTGCTGAGTCTATACTTGCAGGAACCCAGGGGTAAGTGTCTTTTTAAACTCACTGTCTCATTCCATGGTTGTTTCTGCGGCTTGCCGCTCTTCCTCTGAGCACAGGTAGAGCCTCCAGAGTAAGAGGGCTAGTGCTCACGTGCCCTCCAGTAGCCAGTCCCAGTCCCACCCGACCCCCGTACCATGCCCCTAGGTCCACCTCTTCCCACCACCTCCTCCTCCTCCTCCTCTCCTGCCAGGGTCTCAACATAAGTTAAGGGAGGCTCAGCCTAGGTACTGAGTTCTCTCCTGCTCCATCCCCACTCCTATCCCCTGCAGACCAGCCAGTGTGCAGGACACAGAGGCAAGCAGTTCTCCACACATTAGAGGTTCTCACGAGGCCCTTCTGAGTGTCGCCTCCCACTTAGTGTTTCTTTTTCTCAGGAGATACCGTCTGAAGGCTGAATATAAAGCCCAGGAAGAATGGCCGATGAAGTGGGGATATTTGATGACCTCCATGGAGAAGGTGATTGAAAAGTTTATCAGGAACCCCCTTCCCCACCTGTCTCCAGGCTGTGCCCAGTCACGTCAGGAAATAAATGGCTACCGTCTGATAATCAGCAAGAATGAATTGAAAGAGGGGGCTGAGGAGAGAGAGCCATGAAATAGGACACCTGATGTCTTCTTCTGGCATCCGCTTGTGCAGGCACAGGTACACACACGCACACACACACATGCAACACACACACACACACACACACACACACACACAATTTAGCTTTTTCTGCTCCCCTGAATCCAGAGGTTCCTTCCTTTGAGGGGTTGTAGAGTACTCTCAAGGTGCAATATGTGGGCCAGGCACTTCCTCTAAACCAGCTCTGTGGTTTGCACAGCAGCCAGGCGCGTGGGGCTGCCACTGCATGCCCATTTTTAATAAAAAGACCAGTGAGTTCAAAGGATGATGGTCGGGCACAAGACTGGCAAAGGCAGCACAGAGATGGGGGCCAGAGGCCTCGGCCTCACCTGAGGCCACCTGACCACCTCCCTTCTGTGAAGTGGAGTGGGACAAAGGTATGTGGACCCCCTCCGCAGGCCTGGAGACAAGGGGACCTGTAAGGAATAATTGAGACCGTGTCTGCCCTCCTAGGAGCCCCCCAAAGTGTGGGTCAAACATTCAGACATCTGCAAGGGTCTAGACAGAATGAGAGAGGACAAACATCGCAAAAAGAGGGAGTTATGGTGACATGGGCAGAGACACAGTGCTGGTCACAGAGACAGCCACCGTCAGCTCAGGGGAGTTCCCAGCATTCCCGGGAAACCTGCTTCTAGAGGGAGTAGGTCCCATTTATTAAAAAAAAAAAAAACAACACTATGTAGACAGTCGTAATGCCCATGGGGCTTCTGAGGGTGACCTGTTCGTGACATAGCTACCTCAGAACAGACTCCAGGCAGGTCCTCTTCCTCTGCCGGGACACAGTGACCAGAACTGCATTGTTCAAAATACTCTAACTTACAGCATTGGAAGCCCCTCCCACAGCCCACCCACTGCACAGCTTTGAAATTATGCCATTTGTAATGAGGTTTTTAAAATTCTTAGACAGTTATACAGTTTGAAATTCAATGCATAAAGTAGGGGCCTTAATAATGTACTGTTCGAAAGTGATTCGATATTAATATTCCTCACGTGTAATTAAATTGGGTTTCCAGGGAGTTTTAAATGGCTTTAAAATCTCTCAGGGTGTGGGGCATTCGTTTCTGATTGGAAAGCTTGGTCTTGGAACCAGCACAGGCATTTTTTACTTTGAGTTCATGACCAGGGATGTCTTCTCTGGTCCCATGATGGGGATATTAATTCCTAGTTGAAGGGCCTCAGCAAGCGCCACTCAGGACTAACTTGGCAGCTCAGATTCTACTTTGACCATTTTCTGCTTGTGCTGGGATCAGCAGCACCTCTGCTGGGAGCTCCACCGGTGCCTGGGGGCTCGGCCTGAGGTCCTTGTCCCTGGGGTTCTGTTTCAGCTGCTGGAAGGTGAAGAACCACGTACTCCAAAGCCCAAGATCGAGCTGCCCAGCCACTTCCGTGTCCGGCCAGTGAGCCCCATGGACAAATACATCAAGGTTCGTCCGGCAGCTCTTATACTATTTTCTAAGAAAAAAGTAAGTCCTACTGCAACTGTAGTCCATCCAGCCACCAGAGGTGAGGACATGGCCACTCTGGGAGCCACAAGAGCCCTGGAACCAGGCTGGGAACCTCACTGGTAAGACACCTGCACGCACATGTGAGTCCTGCACACACACCTGCACACACAAACACATACAAACACACACACGTACATATAAGCACAAACACACACACACACACACACACACACACACACACACACACACACACACACACACACTATGGAAGCAGGAAAGCAAGTGAGGCTCAAGAGCTACAGTGAGATCTGAGCCGAGTCCCACGTGATTGTTCAGCTCCTGCATTGTCTTGGACAAGTGGCCTGGAATGTGTGTGTCCATTTCCTCCCTGGTCACTGTATCTCAGGGTTACTGAAACACCTTGGGGACTGGGGTTCTGTGGGACAGTGTGCTTGAAGGACTGGGGAACAGGAACCAGCATTTGTCAGAGGGTGGTGATTCTCAGCCATTACTGGGTGCTGGGTGAACAAGCAAGAAAGGGATCCTCAACCGGAAAATCAGGGATGCGGTGGGCAGGCGCTACTCCAAAGGGTCACCAGAGTCACTGGGAGGGCTTCTCCGTGGCAGGCTGCTCCTGTTCAAATCTCTGGGACTCAGTGAGCAGCCAGTCTGTCTGAACCAGTGAGACAATCTAGGGAGCCACTGAGGAAGACACATGTAAGTCAGACTAGTTTTATATCATCTTGACACATGCTAAGGTCATTTGGGAAAGGGGACTATCAATTAAGAAAATGCCTCCATACGGTTTGCAAGTGGGCATGTCCACAATGTATTTTCTAAATTACTGATTGATGTAGGAGGGCTCAGCCATCGTGGGTGGTGGTGCTACCTGTGGACCTGGGTTCTATAATGAAACAGGCTGAGCAAGCCATGAGCAGCAAGCCAGTAAGCATCCTCCTCCATGGCCTCTGCTTCAGCTCCTCCATGTTCCTGCCCTATTCTGCCCTGACTTCCCTGGATGACGGACTGTACACTGTAAGATGAAATAAACCCTTACACCCTCCTCCCAACTTGCTTTTTATCATGGTGTTTGGGAATGGAAATCCTAAGACATGTGTCTTAGTTAGCTTTGTCCACTTGACACAGTCTGCAATCATCTGAAAGGAAAGCCTAGATCAGATCAGCCTATGGACATACGTATGGGGGGGGTTCTTGATTGTGAATTGATTAGAGGTCCAAGCCCACTGTTGGTGGCACTATCCCCAGGCAGTAAGTGGACCTGGGCTTTATAACAGAGCCCTATAAACATGACCCTGTGAGTGAGCTGGGGAATGAGCCAACAAGCAATGTTCCTCCATGGTTTCCAGCTCGGCACGCTGCGGTGAATGCCTTCGTTGATGAGCTGTGACATGGAAGAATAAGTCAAACAAACCGTTTCTTCTCCAGCGTGCTTTTGGTCAGAATGCTACCAAAGAAACAGAAAGGAACCTTAATGAACACCCAAAAGCCAAACTCTAGCCTACACACACACACGCATGCACACTGCAGCACACACTGCTTAATATTGGTTTTTCTGTCTTCTGCATCCTAGGCATCCTGGGCACCTTGTAGACACCCCTGTGGCACATGTGGTCATTTGCTCCACAGCGAAATGTGTGTCTTCCTCCTATCAGCACTGTGGGCAGGAAGGAGTCTTCCCATGACTAACCCCTTGCATTCCACTTCAGATCCTTCCATCACCTCCAATCCCAAAGACCACCCAGAGCTTCATTGGATGGCGATCTGGGGTGCCAGGCCTGAACAAGTGCTTGGAGCATGACACAGAGATCCGCAGCTGCAAAGGGGCTTACGCCCGAGAGCTGCACTGGCCAGAGCAAGGCGTGCACTGAATGTCACCATGGCTTCAGGTGGGATGTGCCCTGTGCCTGGGTGAGCCTCCCCAAGGACAGCTCCCCACATCTCTATGGATGTTCCGAAGGACAACAGTTTGCCTTAGGTGTTGTCGTTCATCGGTGCTCCCAAGATTCTTGGCTAACGTAAGGTAAATAGATACTCTGGTTTATTTATTTGTTTGCTGGTTTGTATGTTTGTTGATACTGTAGGAATCTCTAACTATGGTTTTGGAAAACAGTGATTTAACTCTTAAGCACACTGTCTACCCGGGGATGTAGCTCAGTTGGTAGATGGCTTATGTACATGCACGAAGCTCTAACACCTCAGAAATTGGATATGGCACCAATCATAACACTTGGGAGATGGAGACAGAAGAAATAAGTCCCAGGGCGTCCTTGGGATATTACATTTGAAGCTAGCCTGAGTTATATAGGATCTTGTCTCAAGAAAGGAGATACTTTAACACACTGTCCAGCTTCAGGCACAGTGGTGCACGGCTGTCATCACACACAGATTCAAAGATCACCTGGAAAGCAGAGCGAGCTGGGTAGCCTGGGGAACCCAGTTCTGAACATAGAAAGTAAAAAAGGCAGCTAGAGGTAGGTCTGTGATAGAGCGCTTGCCTCGCCTGCACACTACCCTAGGCTTAGTCTCCAGGAACCACCTGTGAAAAGCCGTGTCAGCTTCCATGGCCTCTCCCACCCTCCTCTTGATGGTGAGATTACTTGCTGGTCCAGGTCTTCTGTGCCCAGACACCAGCTCCTCTTCAGAAGGAATGAGATAGCTTGAAGCTCTTTGTTGAGGTGTCTTCAGGAAGACCACAGCTTTAAAGGTAGAAACCAAGGCCAAAGCCACCAAGTGGATTTCCAGAAGTCCCTTCCTGAGTTTGCTGAGCACACCTGACCCATTCAGTGACCTGGCCTCCCAACCCAGATCCCCGGCCCTTCTGACTTGTGGACATCTGTACCTCAGCTGACACTTTCTTTCTGCATTCCCGCTGCTCAGTTCTGCAACTTTTCACCTGGACCTCCGGCAGCAGGTAGGAGAGCGGTTTCCAGGTGGCCAGAGAGGAAGAGCATCATGTGACAGAGAATTATGAACTGCACCCTCAAAAACAGACAGGCAGAGCTTAGGAACATCGTAGGAGCTGTTCCTGGTCTATGCTGACCCCAAGATAGGGTTTTGTGTAGTCTAGGCTGGCACGGAGCCAATGGACATCTGAGGATGACCTTGGACTTCTGCTCCTCCTGCCTCTACCTCCCAAGTGCTGGGATTGTAGACGTAAAACACCAAAGCAGGTCTCTGCAGTGCTGGGACTAAAGTCCAGGGCCTCCTGCATGCTAGACAAGCACTTAGCCACAGCTCCAGTCCTGGTGTTCAATATGCAGCTTCTTCAGATCTGGGCTGAGCCAGCAGGGTAGCCACATGTGGTCAGTCACATGCTCCTCAATGAAATGTGTTTTCCTCCTGTCTAAACCGTGGGCAGGAAGGAGTCTTCATGACTGGCTGACAGGCTGGGAGAGGCGTCACTTGGTGGAACCATTGCTGAAGCCCAAGAGTCCCTTGTCTTAGGGAAATTCAAGGACCCTCTCACAGTCCTGAACCTGGGCTTCCACCCCTTCATCCCTCTATCGCTCCCCAAAAGGGATTTCATGGCTGACAGGCACCCAACACCAGGGGACAGAATTCTCTGAGTATCCGGACATCCCCATACCAAGGGCGGGGAGCCCCAGCAGACAAGCTCCTGCCACGTGGGGACTTCCTCTTTCTGAGAGCCTCCAGGGGGAGATTTGAGCCAGCATCTGTCTGACTTCCATGGTGCTGACTCCCCAGAGCTAGCCTCTTGAAGCTAGGGCCAGGCCTCCTAACCGAAACCTCATTCCAGCTCCTGGGGGATGAGTGCTCTGCCTTTCAGCATCCTTCCTCCAGCCCCAAGGTATGGTATTCCCTGAGTTCCCCAGCCTGGAAGGGAGACTTCTCAAGAGCACAGCCCTTTGGGGTGACAACCCTACCTCTGAGTATGGTGGCCATGGTCATCATCCACTATGTGTGATGTCAGAGCCACAGCTGGGAATGTCATGGCTTTTAGGCCTGAGAAAAGACACTTGGGGTCGAACTGTGATCCACTCCCAAAGATTTGTCAAAGCCCCAACCTCCTGTCCCTTCAAACACACACTTAACTAGAAATAAGGTCACTACAAATGTAGCTAGTTAAACTAAAATAAGCTCATCCTGGGCTTCTGAGTCTCCCAAAGAGAAGAGCACACACACACACACACACACACACACACACACACACACACACACACACACACACACATACTGCATTATAGCCTGGTAACCTCAGAAACTGGATAACATCTACAAGCCAAGGATGGCCAGAACTCTCCAGCAGCTCACCAGAGGTGGTTAGTAAGGCTAATACCCCCTCAGCTCCAGAAGGAACATGCCACTTCAACCTTGACTCCACATCTGTCCCCTCCACAATAATACAACTCCAAAGTCGGGCTGCTATCCTGTGCATCTGTGGTATAGCCAATGGGACGGGAAGGCAGCTGGCACACAGCTTCCTTCCTCTGCCCTCCTGGTTCACAGTTTTCTGTCTCCTGACCCAGCTGTCTCTCAGGAAAGTAGGCACATGGTCCGTTTGGCTCTGGAGATGTTCCCAACCACCCAGACATTCAGCCTGAGGTAGACTGAACAATCAGATGCTTGGCCAAGCCTGCCTCTATCCGATCCGATGTTTTGGCATCTCAATCAGTTCTGCAGGTGAGGCATCTGCCCTTCAAGAAGAACACGTGCTTCTTGTGATCAGATGTCCCTGAAGTGAAGGAGAGTGGCCAGAAAAGCACTGGTTTGTCCCATCTCCCCTTCAGCAAACTGAGGATTGTGTTTCCATGGATTTCCATACAGGAGGCAGTGCACACCTTGGCTGAGGATGACCCTCTCCGGACAGGTGGCATTTGCTCTAATTCTTAATCAAAAGATGCATCTGGGAGTGGCCTTCTTGTCTGTGTGCCTACAGCAGTTAGGCAACCAAAAAACCCCAGCAAAACTAGATGGAATTGTAGCCGGGGCTAGGGTCCCATTAGCAGGGCACTTGCCCAGTGTGCACCAAGTCCCAGATTCTGTCCCTACCACTGTGTGGTGCCTCACATCTGAATCCCAGCACTTGGGAGGCAGGAGGAACAGGATTTCAAGGTCATCCTTGGCTATGTAGTGAGTTTGAGGTCAGCCTGAGCTACATGAAACCCCCTCTTAAAAGGGGAGGGCTCTTGGATCTGTCTCAGTTTCCAGCTACCAGGAGACAGAGCATCCACTTCAGACTCTTGAAGACAGCACCCACTAGACAGTAGCCAGGTCAGCAGATGGGGATGGTAAAGATGAATGGATCACAGCACGTGAGACTTTCAGGAAATGTCAGGCTCCATGGTGGCCATCACTGGGCTCACCTGGTACTTACATCCAGTTTGCACCCATGAGGAGGAAGATGGACCCAGGTCCTTGTGAGGAGAAAGAGACTCAGGCCACAGCTGAGCCTTACGTCAGGCTTAGTCATCCCAGCTGCTTAGGAGGCTGAAGCAGGAAGGTAACAAGTTCAAAGCCAGACTGGGCAATTGAGGAGACTTTGTCTTAAAATAAAATTGAAAAGAGCTAGCTCAGTGGTGAATCACTTGCCTAGCATGTTCGAGGTCTTAGCTCCGTCCCCAGTGCCTGAAGGAGACCAGGCACATACTCTCCTGCCCCATTTGCTCCTGTCAACATCTAGATGGCTTCATGTGTTTCATTGTGTAGAGTATGTGCGTTGTATTTGTCTCTGGGCACATGTGTGTGTGCATGTAGAGAGCAGAGCTAGACATTTAGATTTCTTCTCCATCGCTATTCATTTTACTTTTTGAGACAAGGTGCCTCACTAAGCCTAGAGCTCATGAATTTGGCTAGGCAAGGTGTCTAGAAGGCTCTAGGAATCCTCTTGTCTCTGTTAGTGCCATCGCCTCCCAGTTCTGGGTTTATAGATGTGCCCCACAGTGCCCAGAATTTACATGGTGCTAGATTTGAACTCAGATCCTCATGTTTGCTTGGCATCTTCCCAGCCTCTGCTTAGGTATCCTTAGCTAACACCTGGGAAACCCTTGCAGTGGTGGGGGCTGTCTGCCTTAGGGTTTCTATTGCCGTGTTAAACACCATGACCAAAAGCAGCTTGGAGAGGAAAGATGTTGTTCAAATCTTAAATGGTCTTATAATTGAAAAAACCCCGGTACTAGATATTGGGGTGAAAGCTGAAAGATCAGAGAACCAGAGTAAGCCACAGCCAACCTCACCTCACCAACTCCTCAGCCAATCCTGTTTCCACGAATCCTCAGACTGAAAGTTTCTGAGTCCTCACCCGAAAGGCCTCAGCCAAAAAGAGCCTTTAGTTCCTGTCTCCTCACACCTTATATACCTTTCTTTGCCCTGCCATATTATTTCCTGGGATTAAAGGCATGTGTGCTTCCAAAACAAAGGCATGAGATCTCAAGTGCTAGGATTAAAGGTGTGTGCCACCACTGTCTGGCTCTATTTCTCTCCTAGACTGAGTCAACCTCATGTAGTCCAGGGTGGCCTTGAACTCACAGAGATCCAGATGGATCTCTGCCTCTCAAAGAGTGCTAGGATTACAAGTGTGTGCCACCACTGCCTAACCTCAATGTCTAATCTAGTGGCTGGCTCTGTCCTCTGATCCTCAGGCAAGCTTTATTAGGGTACACAATATGTCACCACAGAAAGGGTCTATTTGCTCACATATCCTGGGTCACAGTCCACTGAGGAAAGCCAAAGCAGAAACTCAAACAGGTCAGGAACCTGGAGGGGAGCTGATGCAGAGACCACGGAGGAGTGCTGCTTACTGGCTTGCTCCTCATGGCTTGCTCAGCCTCTTATAACACCTAGAACCATCAGCCCAGGGGTGGTACCACCCACAGTGGGCTGCGCCCTCCTGCATCAATCAATAAGAAAATGCCCTAAAGGCTTGCCTACAGCTGGAGTTCATGGAGACATTTCTCAGTTGAGGTCTCCTCTCAGATGACTCTAGCTTGTGTCAAGATGACGTAAAACCAGGCAGCATACTGTCTGTCTGCAATAACTTATTCATCAACCAGCCACATCTGTGCTCTGATTTAAAGAAATGAACACGAGCTGTCCCTCTGGGTGTCTTGTTTCCCTGCTCCACCATCTGCCCCACCCGCTTCTCCTGGCTCCAGGCTGACCTCCAGCACAAAACCATCTGCCCTGTGCTCACAGCACCCAGTGAGACCCAAGCTCCAAGTCAACAGCCCAGTTGAGAATTGAAGTGGACAGTACTCCAGGATTCAATTACCCAGGACCGTTGCAAACTTGACATTTAATCTATGGAAATTCACCTCTTTGTGGGTGTCTAAGAAGGCCCATAAATGTCACCACACCCTGTAAAATACCGTAGCATTTCCAAGGTCAAGACGCAGCTGGTGAACCCATGTGCATGATATTGACATCATCTGGACTCAGTCCAAAGGAACAGGCTCAAAATGCTGCCAAACAGGACTGAATCAGGGACCCAGAACAGACCCACTGCAAGCATGTTTGAGTCTAACAGAAATTAGAAACACTTGTGTTGAGTTAACCAAAAAGTATAATGAACACAAGCTGAAAGCCAGAGGAACCGACTCATAAGCATTGTAACAAGGACAGATGTCCACAAGGCCTCAGCATCTCAGGTTCCCAAAGCCCCAGAATAGATTGCTTGAGAGATTATAATGATCATATTTCAGAGATTACACATACTGTATGTGCATGATATAATCCCACTGGCAAGGTCTAGGCATCTCCACAAAATTAAATTCAATAATTTTTTTTACTTTATTTTTAATGTGTATGGGTGTTTTGACTGTGTGTAAGTCTGTGTGCCACACGCATACAGTGCCCCTAGAGGCCAGAAAAGAACATCAGATTTTCTGGAACTGGCATTTCAGATGGTTGTAACCAGCCATGGGGGGGGGCTGGGAATTGAACCCAGGTCCAGTGGAAGAGCAGAAATGCTCACACAGCTGAGCCATCTCTCCACCCACCTTCACGTTGTTTTGTTGAAACTTAAATACACCAACTCAAATGAAGGCTCTAAGAGGCCAAATGTCGGTTTGGTGGAGCTTTGTCCCCAAAGGGTCACTGGTGTCATACTAAATGAACATTCCTGGGGTTTGGAGTTTGAAATCGATGAAAAGTTTTAGAAATAAAAAGCTACTGTCCCAGAGGACATTGTGGGAGTGAATCTTTCATATCTGCCTGCCTTTATGAAACTATGCAGGGACTCTATTGGTTGTAAAAGGAAGTAACCCGCCCCAAGCCAGTCGAGACACAGAGGAACATATTAATTCCTAGGTGGGAAGCCCTGGGGGCAGCTAGGCTTCACATGCAGTTTGACCAGGCTATCCGAGGCTGTCTCTAGAACCAGGATCTTTCCGCCCAGTTCCCTTCAGCTTGGTCTGATTCCAGCTATAGGAGACACATCTCTGCATGATTAAACCTTGAGGAAGTTTCTTGGATCCCAAAAGGAAGTCCAGGGGCACGTGGAGTGGCTAGCTAGTCTAGCAGCTCATCTTCAAAGGTCTGGATTTTTTTCTCTCTCACCTGTCCTGATAGCAGCCTCCCCTGAGGATATAATGTTGATGGCCCCAGTGGAGAGAGTCACACACTCTCTGCTAACCGGTGGCAGTAAAAAAAGAAAGTTGCTTCCTTGTATCTCTGATAATCCTCCCTGGGGGTCTCAATGACTGGGGTGGCTCTCACCCCTGTTAAGGACTCAACCACTACATTATCTCCTTTGGGCCGACAACCCCTTCCCATGAGGCACTGCACCTATTAGTAGGGGAGAAGAAAGAAAGCAGAAGGATCAGCATGATACTCGCCATGGTGTCAGTCTCAGACAGGCTCACATTCCTCATGGTCACAAGAAGGCTGCAGCTGCTCCTGGCTTTCCTTAGTCTCAGTGCTCAAAGACTGTTTCCCAGGATTCCCAGCTACTGTCTCATTCACTCCAACTTGGGAGCACGTCCATTCCTGAGCCAGTCAGTGTGGCCCACAAAATGCTCATCAATGTTAGGTCTCACTTGTCTCTACCCCTAACACAATAGATGCCTTCACCCCCTCCTTCCATCTCTTGCTCTCATCCTCATCCTCTCAAGGAAACCATCTGCTGTCATGTGTGCATGCTCAAGGGTATCTCCACAGAATGAGAACGAAAAGAAACCACCATCTAACAGCCAAGGAGGAACTGTGGCCATGGCCCAACTGCCTGCTGGGAACTGAGTGCTTCCAACAGCCTGGTGAAGGAGCCAGGCCGCAGAGCCCTCTCCCTGTACCAGTGCACACCCACAGACACAATTCTGAGTGCAGCCCCCCCGCCACTCCCATGAGAAAAGAAATCATGTTTCTATATATTTCTGGGGCCACATAGACAAATGGCATAACTTGAGCCCCCAACCTGCTGGAGTCCCCCCCACTGTCTTCTACATTCTGGGGAGACCATATGATGGGTGTTGTTGCCAAAATCAGGCATTGCTTACTCCACACAGGTGGGTAAGGTTCCTGTCAGATGGAATTCTGACCCTCACAGTGCCTGGGAGCTGCCGTCACACCAACCCCTCCCCAGAAGCCAGATGCCAGCTAACAGCCCTCCTCCTGTCCCCATGACAGCCATTTCCTGTGTCTGTCTTAGTCCACTTTCTATTAAGTTGGGGAGGAAACTGTTTGGCTTAAATTTCCACATCACAGTCCATCACTGAGGGAAGTCAAGGACCTTGAATCAGAAACCATGGAGAAATGCTGTTTGCTGGCTTGCTCCCTGGCTAGCCCACAGGCTCACGATGAGCTAGCTTTCTTATGCAGCCTGGGACCACCTGTCCATAGAATGCTGCTGCACACACTGGGCTGGGCCCTGCTGCCTCAGTTAACAACACAGTCCCCTGTAAACATGTCCATACACCAATCTGACCCAGACAATTCCTCGATTGAGACATCCTCTCAGATGACTCTAGGCTGTGTCAAGTTGATCAGGCTAACCAGAACACCCCAGCCCTCGTCAACTTGACACACAAACACATCTGTTTATCCAGAATCCTGTCTTGTCACCAAGATGTCATGTTAATATTGTTCTATAAGACAGAGTACAACTTTAAAAGTCCCACAATCTTTCAAAAATTCCAACATTTTATAAGTTCAGTGTCTCTTTACAAGTCCAACATCTCTATTGTGTTTTCCTACATAAAAAAACTACAAGTTACAAAGTTTCTTATTCCAAAAGGGAAGAACTAGAGCACAGGAGCAATCAGGTGAAAGGCTAAATCTGGGTCCTGTCGCTGTGGGTGGTGTCTTGGACTCACTCATGACCTGTCACCAAGGGCTTGGGCATCCTCACTTCTCAAGTTCTGCCAACCACAGTGCACACAGCTTGTCTCATGAGCTCATTCTAGTTCTGTTTCATACCTGCTTGGGATGTAGCTGTGGCCCCTGGACCACAGTTTCGGTGTGCTGACTCCCAAAGAAACACTTTGCAGAGATCCCCTCAGTGGGGCTGGTCCCTTGTTAATCACAGCTGATTCTTCAGATTATTAGTCAAAGTATCACACAAACAGCCCTGTCCCAGCTCTTAAGTCAGTCTTGCCCTACCTCACATTTCTCTCATCAGTACTGTCTTTCAAGCTTCCACAATAACGGCCTATTAAGCTCTGAGCACTCGATGACCTTCCCATCTCAAAGTTCCAGAATCCTCGAATGAAGCATTCTAAAGGCATAGGAAGCTGTATGTATGCTCAACTCCATCCCAGCACTCTCCACTCCCTGGTACCAAGTTCTGTCTCCTAGTTAGTTTTCTGTTGCTATGACAAAGCACCCTGACCAAAGCAACCTAGGGCAGAAAGAGGCTTATTTGAATTTTACTTCCAAGTCACACATGCCATCACTGAGGGAAGTCAGTGCAGGAACAAGGCAGGAACTTCAGATGGGACCAGAAGCAGGGACTGTGGAGAAACGCTGCTTGCTGGTTTGCCTTAACAAACTTGTACAGCCCAGGACCACCTGCCTGGGGAGTGTTGCTGCCCACAGTGGGCCGGGCCCTCCTGCACCAATTTAGTGATAATGACAATCTCCCACAAACAGGACAATCTGACTTGGGCAATCCCTCAGCTGAGGTCTATCCTCTCAGATGACTCTAGGCTGTGTCAAGTTGGCAGTAAAGACTGGTTAGAAGGGTCGCCTCCTTACTCTATAAAATAATTAGAATGAAGTATAGGAGCATATGGCCTGGAAGGATGGTTCAGCAAGTAAAGGTGCTTGCTGCCACCAAGACTGACGAACTGAGTCAGTAGCCAGGACTCACATGGAAGAAGAGAACCAACTCCCCAATTTGACTTCAGACCTCTACGTGCCTGCTGTGGTACTCATGTGCTCACATGTGTGTGCGCGCTTGAACACACACACACACACACACACACACACACACACACACACACAAAATAAAAAGTAAAGGTAAATCAGAGGAGCATATTCGAAACTTGAACCAACAAAGCTAGGCAAGCCACCAAGATGGTGCTGAGGCCCAGCGTGACCTCTGGCTGGTGCAGCAGAATCACCCCTGCTGTGCTGTGACAACAGCTTGTCCCCGGACACTCATGCTGGGACTTAGGTCTCACTGTGAGGCAGTCAGGGAGGGAAACATCATCCCACCGTGACATCTGGAAGTAGTGAGGGCCAGGCAGAGTCATCAGGCCCCATGACCGACTTTGGGGGCTTTGTCAGGGGAGGGAGAGAGACTGGACAGACACCACACATCCCTGTGCATGCTGTCTCCAGTGTGGTGCCCTGAACCGCCCTGGGACACTATTCTCAAGAAGGCTGTCCTCAGACACAGACCTTCTGCCTTGTGCCCTGGAAAGGTGGACTCAGTAAACCTCTTTTGTCTATAACATACCCCACCTGGGTTATTGTGTCTCAGCAACAAAAAATGGACTAAGATATCTCAAACCAAGAGACAACAAAGCAGGACCAGGCCTCGTGGTACACACCTACATCCCTAGCTACTTGGGCGGCTGAGGTAGGAAGGTTGTAAGTTCAATGCCTTCCTGGGTTCTAGAGTGAATTCAAGGCCAGATGCTACCTCGCTCCTTTTTTCTCCTCAAAGGAAGCTGAACAACTTGGTTTTCAAAAATTAAAAATCACCCAATTGTTAAATGTTTTTGCATTTTTAAATGTTTCAATTATTATTAAGTGTGGTACAAATTAAATACACCAGAAACAGCAGCTTATACTTTCTCAAATAAACACATTTCTGAGTGCTTTCCTGATGTCTACATTTGGGTATCTAAAAGGCATCTCAAACTGAACACATCAAAATTCACTTTATTCTGGCAGCCACCTCCCTTCACTAACAGTGTCCCTTTGTCCCTTCCCAGCCTCCCCACAGCCAAGGCAGAAGTCTTGGCTTTCCCCTTCCTCACCCCAATAGTCCTTCAGCAAAGCTGTCCCCACAGGCCACCATCACCCTCTGTCATCACCATCTTCTCTGGGTATTATGGTTTGGATATGACTTCAGCACACCCCCAAGAGTTCTTGTGTTGGCAACCTGGTCCCCAGGGAGGTGGTGTTGAAAGGCGCTGGGGCCTACGGGAAGGAAGGGGGCTATCAGAGGTACAGTCCTGTGTAGTGATATATTGTGTACCCTAATAAAATTTGCCTTAAGATCAGAGAACAGAACAAGCCACTAGATTAAACTTAGAGGCCAGGTAGTGGTGGCACACACCTTTTATCCTAGCTCTCGGGAGGCAGAGATCCGTCTGGATCTCTGAGTTCAAAGCCACCCTGGACTACATGAGATTGACTCAGTCTAGGAGAGAAACAGAGCCAGGCAGTGGTGGCACACACCTTTAATCCCAGCACTTGAGATCTCATGCCTTTGCTTGGGAAGCACACATGTCTTTAATCCCAGCACTAAGAAGGAAGTGATATGGCAGGGCAGAGAAAGGTATATAAGGCGTGAGGAGACAGGAACTGAAGCTTTTTTTGGCTGAGGAGCACTTTTTGGATGGACCCCTTTCGGCTGAGGACTCAGAGACATTCAGTGAGAGGATTCATGTTGGCAAGGTGAGACATGGCAGGGGTCTGTTCCTTTGTCTCTCTGATCTTTCAGTATTTACCCAGATATCTGGCTCCAGGTTTGTTTGTTTTTTCAATTAAAAGACCATTTAGCAATTTGAGCAACAGTCCTGGGAAGTGATCTTTGTGGTTCTCATGGAGTCCTGAGAGCTCCTTCAAGAACAGCTTGGCCTAGGAAGAGTGAGCCTGGCCACTGGATGCCTCTGGTCTGTGTCTTGTCTTGGGTGCCCTTCCTCTCATGGGCACTGGATGCCTCTGGTCTGTGTCTTGTCTTGGGTGCCCTTCCTCTCATGGGCACTGGATGCCTCTGGTCTGTGTCTTGTCTTGGGTGCCCTTCCTCTCATGGGCACTGGATGCCTCTGGTCTGTATCTTGTCTTGGGTGCCCTTCCTCTCATGGCCACTGGCACCATTGTGCCATCACTATGTTGACCCAACAAGGGTGCCCTCTCCAAAGTCTGCACAGACAAGGCCATCAGCCTTAGACACCCCTCTCTGAAAGTGAGTTAGATGAGTTTTCTCGAGAAAACGTCCCTCCTGATGACAACAGCAAGCATCTAAACCTCCTGACCTACAGGTTCTGTGAGGACTGCTGTGGTGACAGCCTGACAAAGCTATACCCTGAGGGTGACGCACATCACTCTGCTCTCAAGTCATACTACAGAGCAAGTCACCTGGAACTGCAGAGTCTCCTGTTGTCAAACAATTCCCAATTCAAAAGCAAAACACCATGAAAGACTAGTTCTCCGATTGTTTCCCCGTGGAAAGGGGCTGGGGTGGTTTGGGAAGAGAACAGAGTGCTCCGGTGGAAAAGAGGACTCTTGGCCACCATCACCAATGTTCATGTCTTTATTTCAAAAACTGCCTTGAAGACCAGAAGCCAAAAGAGGAAGCAGATGTGACACATGCATCCAGGTGGGTGAGCGCCTGAGACAAGAAGTCAGAACACCAAGGCTTCCTGTGTATGACCTCAGTGGTGGGAAATGCTCAGACTAAGTGAATTCATAGGAACAGAACACTGGGGAGGGAGCATCAGGGCCACCTGGGCATGGGGACTTCTGACAGAGGCCTCCTTTCAGGGTGACAAACCAGTTTGAAACTGAGGTGGTGAGGGCTGTATTGTAAACACTCAATGACAAGTCCCACCCTGTCAACGGCCACTTTGTGTTGTGCAAACTTCTCCTAAAAATGGCCAGAGTTTATAAATTGTCAATTCTGTGTTGTGTGCATGCAATTTTTCCCTCGTAT